TGGGCTGCATTGCTGTAGCCCACAACAAAATAAAAAGCATAACTATATACATACCAATTCCTCTTGTGCCTTCCTTTTTCCGTTCATCATCTGTAAAGTTCAGAGTAAATTTGAAACATATTGACAATGTCACAGAAAAACCATTACAAATAAAGCAAACATCAGCTTTATTTTCCTGCATAAAGTTGGCATATCTTCAAAAACAATTAAAATTGTTTTGAGTTATTTCTTTAAATAGAGGCTCACAAGTTAAAGCTAACATTAGCTTAATAGCTTCACAAATACTAACGCTGGAGAATGAGCCAGAGGACTAAACCAGAATTTAGTTTCAAACCAAAACAACTAACTAGTTTCATAAATCTTACCTGGACAATTTGCAGAGTTTTTTTCATTGTCTAATTCAGCATCAGTTCTCTCTTCGTCGTATCTCTCAGCACACCGATTGTGGTGCTACCGCAGTCTCCGCAGTGTTGAGGCATGCATTTAATGCAACATTAGTTGAAGGTGAAAACACTTAACATTCTTTCAAAGGAATAACAAAACAGGGATTTTACAGTTTCACTGAAAAAAAAACTCTTCCTCATGTCCCTTGCATCTTATTTTGAACAAAATCTTTATGTAAAGTCTATAAAACCATTAAAACACCATATGGTTGTCATATAGTCTAAAACATGTATTTATTAAGGAACACTTCATAAATGCATACAAAATAATTTTTAACTATAACTAATCAGGTACTACTGCTGTTTGTGACCCTTGAATATTTGAAGCAATCACGCAGATACTGAACATTAGTGAAACATTTCCAAATGGAATTTAACTCGTCATAAGCATCTGTTATCAACATGATTAATTCCAAATTTAAAAAGATGAAGACTTCATGCAAAATCTGAAAAAGTGCCGTTATTTTATTTTAAAAATGTAACAAAGGAATAACAAAACAGGGATTTTACAGTTTAATCGAAAAAAGAACTCTTCCTCATGTCCCTTGCATCTTGCAATTTACTAGTATTACCAAGAGACATATAAGCTGTTGAATGCAATGCTTATTATTGTATTATTTAACGTTTAGTTAATGCTTATTACTGCATCAACAAATGTTAGCAGTGTCGTTAAACACTATTAAATAATGTATGAGGTAATACTTTATTTAACATGACAAACATTAGTACATGATTAATAAATGCATTAGTTATCTATTAGTTAATGCTTATTACTGCATTATGTACGGTTAATTAATGTACCCTTATTGTAAAGTGTTGCCATATCAAAAAATGCTTTTTTGGCATGTAGTGGATAAAACAAACAGACTATAGTTAACAGTTAATGCATATAGTTAATATGTAATAGGGGAACAACTGCAGAGCCCAGGTGTTGTGTCCATCAACAGATACTTTCCCAAGAACACAACTCTTTAAAGTAAGTGACTATGTAGCTTAAAATCTGTTATAATTACAGGTATGGGTCTTATGCTAACAGGTTGGGTCGGATCCAGATTTAATTTAGAAATAACTCCGGGTGATGGGTTGGGTCCGATACAGAGCTTTGTGGGGGCGGGTTTTCACATTTGGACCCATACAGGACTGCCTGTGGGCATGGCCCAAGCCTGCTGTTCTGGTCAAAGAGGGTGCAGTGTCTGTATATGCTGTTGATGGTTAAATGTCTTCTATTGGCTTGTCTTCAATGCTGCATCCTTCTGTCAGAAAGCCTCAAGGTCAGACTGTTGAGGTTGAAGTTGACCCAGGGTAATGGGACCCTGTAACAGAACGGTGCAAAGGTGGATTTAAACTTCTCTGTAGTCTGTTGTGTTAAGTGAATATTGGACTAAAGCATACACCAAGTGCAAGGGTGGAATTTTAAAGAATGGTAGTAATGTGTGAATTAGGGCCTCAAAAACTGACCCATGCCAATAATAATAATAATGCCTAGACTTTACTATATAAAGTGTCCTGAGATGACTTTGGTTGTGTGTGGAGGTTTCTTCTATTAAAGGGAGTTTTTCGTCCTCACTGTCGCCAAGTGCTTGCTCAAGGGGGATTTGTTGGGTTTTCCCTCTGTAATAATATTGATAACAGTAAGGTCTAGACCTTACTTTGTAAAGTGTCCTGAGATGACTTTTGTTGTGATTTGGCGCTATACAAATAAAATTTGATTTGATTTGATCTGGTGCTGTACAAATAAAATTGAATTGAACTGAATTGAATAACGAGGTGCTATAATAAACATAAACATGGATATTGAAGTCTGTGTGTGTGTGTGAGAGAGAGGGAGAACGATTTCATATAATTCAAATTATCATGTGCACAAAAATGCCAATTTTAGCATTACTGAGGATGACTGGCCTACCTGTATGATCCACGAGCCCAATCTGATGTCTCCAGGAAGAAACAGCAGTGATGATGTGGATGAGAGAACAGCCCATAGCTAGTTGTTGAATGTTACATAAATCATTGTATATATTAAACAGCACTAAAAATGATCTTTTTCAGCTACGGTCTCAGGTTAGTGCTGTGCTTTGCACAATAAATGGCAGAATCTCATTTAAGGTGAGGACACACAGTTCTCCCTTAAATCTGTGGAATACTCTGGGTGATGAGTTACCATATAGTAGAAATTATAAACTTAATGTTTAAAAGCAAGGTAATCAACAAGTGTAAAAATATTTGATAAGGCATCACTAGTTGTATAATAACACACTTTAGTACACACAAACCTTTACATAAGAAACAATGTAAAAACATTAACATATAGGTAGGCCTGGATATAGGTATGAGACAAATTTTGCACTTATTAGGATTATGTAGTTTAAATAAATTAGAATATGAAAAGGTGCTGAATGTGATATGAATTGGTTTCAGCCTACACCTCCCCACTGTCACCAAGTGCTACTCAAGACGGTTTTGTCTATAGTACTGTAAGGTCTAGACCTGACTGTGTAAAGTGCCCTGTAACGATTGTTGTTGTGAATTGGTGCTATGCAAAAACTCAAGTGAAAGGAGGGGCTGACACTTAATGATGACAACAGGTGGTATGTGCAGGGGAGGGAGATGGTTTTAAAAACAAAACAAAACAAAAGAAAACAACTTCAACTCGATTATTCTTGCAGCACTCAGTCAGCTGTTGGGCTAGTGTGAAAATATTTCAAGTCCTGTTTTACATAAACATTTATTATTGAATAAACATTCCGGCATTCTAATGAATCTGCAATACAAAAATAAAAAGATCAATGCATATGTTTTGGATTCTGCCATACTTGTACATTTGTGTTTATTGTCATCTGAAAACCCCTGGTTAAACTATAAAATAAGTTCAAATACAAAATAATTACTCTGCATGCGGCCTCTGAGCCCCACCCTCTGCATGTTTATTGGCACAGAAAGCTGTCAATCATGCAACATCAACAACAGATCAGCTTTATTTGAAAATGTTACAACAAAAACATGACAAACTGACAACTTGATATTCTTTTACACAACTTTTATATCATTTGACTATGATTAACTACCACCTGTTTTATTGTTGAATGTGCAGAAAAACAGTATTTTGTACAAATGAGAAAAACTTACTGACAATTCACTTTAATATTCAAAATGAGTTCATGTTATGTTAATGTATCCTCTGAACCAAAATGTTAAGTATCAGTTATTTGTTAGTTTCTTGTTTCAAACAGCTGTGTTTGTTTCACCGGTGTGATTTGGAGACTTGTCTGGATTTCAGAGCCGACACCTGCTTCTAGCATCAATACAAAAACTGCTCATTATCCTCAACATCATTTAACATGAGGAGAGCCAAAGTTACCTCACTAACACCTGCTGGTGTCAGTCGGCCATCTTGGACAACAAGACGTCCAAAGTCTTTTATAACTATCAGAAAAAAAAAAGAACACCAGAGACACACAGAGAAAAACTCAAGTGACTGTATCAAAAATGACAAAAACTCAAAAGGCTCCGCTCAACTGACAACACATGCAAAAATTTACATTTCACCTGTTCAAGTCTTCTTCTGAAAAGAAGAAGAAACAGCACCCTTCACCCTCTACTTGTGTCCTTTGCTGGTCTTGAAGGACACCTGCAGGACTTTGTCTCCCAGTCGGTAACCATTCAGGCTGTGGATTGCCATGGCGGCCTCCTCGTAGTTTGTCATGGTAACAAAGCCGAAGCCTTTGCACTTGTTGGTGCTGAAATCTCGGATCACTTTCACGTTGATGACAGCGCCAAATGGCCCAAACAACTGCCACAGGATGGCCTCATCTGCATCCTGACCTAGGTTATAGATGAAGATGCACCAACCAGATGATGAGCTACCTGAGACCCCACCACCTCCACCCAGGTGGTCCACGCTCATTGGAGAAAACCTGGAAAAAAAACAGGAAGTGCAAGTGGTAAACAGGATAGGTAGGTACACAGTTAGCGACACAGAATCACAGCCTTTGTTTTCCCAATTCCATAAACTGATTTCACACAATGTACGGGTTTTACTCTAGCATATATTTGGACAGTGCTCTTTAAAAATACTGGTCAATATATTAAGGACAGTCTATAACAATAAAAAAATAAGCAAACATGCAAGTAAGATTTGAGGGTTTAAGTCTGACATATCTGGTATAAACCTTTTAATTTATTCCTCCATTTTCTCCAGGTGTGACCTGTAATGTGAGTGTTTTTGTATTCCCAGGTAATTTCTCAGTTATGCTTTCACACCACATTATTTAGGTATGTTTATGTGGCTGTGCAGTTCTTTGTTTGACTACGTTATGTGCTATGTATATATACTATGCCAGTGTATCCTAAACCTAAGTTGGATTAGTTCTGGTGGCCACTTGAAAATGAACAAAAATGATAAAAATGACATGACTTGGAAGTGTTGATGACTTTACGTGACTGCATACCTACTGCAGATTACTGCTACACACAAAATTAACAAAATACACACACAAGACAAAGATATTATACTTTGGAAGTATAAGATGCTGACAACACAATATAGGGAGCTGTGGGCTACATGACCGACAGATGACAGCTGTGCACATATCGCAACCTGTTTCAGAAAGACAGAACCATCCCAACTAATCATATAAAAATGTGAAGCTTCCTGTTAATCTAATTGTCCAAATGGTGGAAAAGTGCATCATCTTCTCACCCATCCTTAGTCTGTAACCACAGTGTGGTAATTGTCTGATCACAACTTTCAAAGCCATAAAGAGTATCCAATACGGGCCTTTCAAACCTTTCAATGCTGGTTCCTCCTTTGGTGTCTAAACATTGTATGGGGCAGAAAAGGCCTACTGTTATCAAATGAGTGTCAAAACATTCCAAAGGATCACAATGATGATATGGAAACAAGCGAATAGCATGTTAATTGTAGTGCCTTTTCAAAGTAGCACAACATGATCACGTGCATCGTTGAGCTGACATTTCATTAAGCCACAGTGTAAACAAAAGTTGTTTTTTTTTAATCAATAAAGTAGGTGTGTTTTATTAATACAAAATATAGGGTTCCTTTTGGCTGTACACATACAGAATTATTCCTGCTATGCGACAGTTAAAAATGGTATGCAAGAACATTTTCTATAGACGTATTATGTAATTCAAGTCAAAAAGGAAATCTGGAAATCTGCCATGGTGCCAGAAAACTTTTATCCCCATAACAGGTATGATGGACCTGACTCTAGCTGCAAGAAACATTTTTTAAAAAACTGTTAAATTTCTTCTCATCCAAATGCTGAGTTTGACATCACGCTACCTATGCTAATTAATTAGTGCTGTGTATAATAAACACTAAATTTATCAAGACATTAAAATGGAAGAAGAGATGAGCCTGAATTAACTGAGGAAATTAAACCCATCTTGAACAGAAATAAAGAACTAGGAAGTAAAATTAGATGCAAGTGTACAGTTAAAAATGAAATTCCATTACAAACAAAACCACCTCCAGGTAAAGGGAAAATATTACATTATTCTTGCTGTTCTATCACCAACAGGTGAACGTACCTGAACCTCTGTGCCTGGTGATGTACAGGTCCTCCAAAGCGCCGTGACTGCCCATGGTGCATCTGTGACATCATCTGGGAGTTCCTGGCCTGATTGGGGTTGGCAGCAAACTTGACTGTGATTGGTTCAGAGCTGCCAGGGGGCGTGTGCCCATTCAGGTGCTTGACAGCATCATCAGCCTCAGCTCGTTTATCAAACCGAATAAAGGCCACACCCCGAGACAGACCTAAACAGCCAACCAGATTACACATTAGAGTCAGGACTGAGGGGTTGTGATTGGCAACATGACTGATCACATGACTACATGGTCACCTGAGGCTTGGTCAACCAGCACTCTGGAGTTGATGATGCGTCCATAGCGAGAGAACATGTCCTCCAGCTCAGGCTGGCTCAGTGTTCTGGGCAAACCGCTGATGTACAGATTGGCATCTTTGATCATGTCTGAACTCGGCCGCGCGTATGAAACCTGCACGAGGTGGCAAGAAGCATTTCAGTCCATCGTCTTCACAACTACAAAGATTTTAAAATAATGAACACTTACCAACATAAAATATAGTTACATCCAGCTTTTAAATAAAATCCAGAGATAGCCTACTCTAAATATCTTTAATTATTCAATATTAAAAAAAAAACATTCAGATTTGTCCCAAATAAAATACAAAAGACAAAGTAAAAGCATCCAAACAGACTAGAATCATTGAGCACTTTTGTCAAAATAAAATCATTAATTTATGAAAATCAAAGTTCAGCACATCACACTGAACTGAAGATATTTACAGATTCAGTGTCGACATGTGTCAATATTAAAATCAGGATGTAAAAGAATAAAAAAGAAAAACATGACAGCAGAGTTTTAAAAAATACCTTCATCAGTATGCAGGATACAGCGCCCTCTACTGTCCAGGGAACATAACACATCTATCAGTTGAGACAGGAAAATCAAAGAGCACCTGTGGCACTTTACCTTGATAGTTTTAGACTGTAGCCTCAGGCCATTGAGGGTACTGATAGCCCTCTCTGCATCACTAGGGTTAACAAAGTTAACAAAGCCGTAACCTAAACTGTGGCCTAGAGAAACACAAAGGAAAACAACAAAATAAAATAACAAAACCGTCTGCAGTGCAGCTGCCACACATTCTGGATAGAAACAAACATACAGAAGTCACAAACTGAATACAGTCGTCAAATCTACAGCAGGAAACTCTCCAAACAGCGTTTGAACAGTGGCAACAATAAATCCCTCTGAACAAACCCAGAAAACTCAAGTCTACTTGAACCCCATTCAGACTGGAACAATAATTTGGTTCCAACCGAAACATGTCAACATCTGACTCCCAAACAGGTCTGGACTGTCAAAGGCCGTCTGCACTGATCAGCTGAGGTGAGTGAAAAATAAACAAAAAAGTGAAAACATTTCTCAGATAAATATTGCGTGTTACTCAGTTAACTGGTTTGTCAACGACATGTATGAAACTGCTGTGGACTGGAGTCCAGTGACGGGGAGATGAAAGAATCCAGGTCAAACGCACCTGATGTCTGAAAGGGGCAACAGAGTCAGACCTCGCTGATTACAGCTACCGCAACTTTACCAACCGGTCCACTCTCGGGTGACCTCAGGTGACGCTCT